CAAGTGACAGGGGAGTATATGCGAGGCGGTTAGGAGTTGCCTCCAACAAGTAGGCTCCAAGTCCATTCTGGGAGAGCCTGACAAGCTACCCGTGAGCATACTCAGACCCCACGTTCAGAGCCCAGCAAGCTATACGCGGATATCAAGAAAAGCTGAAAACATAAGAAACGGGCATCCTTCCTCTGACCCAGAAAAAGCCTCCAATTCGGCAGCGTTGGGTAGGACGGGTATGGAGAAGCTGCTGAAATCTCAGGGCCAATGGAAGCTTCCTGGAATGCAAAAAGCTAAGATGACGATCTGTACCTACAATGCATGCACACTTTCATCGGAGTCTTCGATAGAAGACTTCGTCATGCAAACAAGAAGGATAAGGTACGACGTCATCGGCCTGGCCGAGACGAGAAGACGCCAGCCTTTCAACGCCGTCTATGATACCAGAGAAGAACTGTTCCTCGGAACATGTGTCAGTAAAGGAGTCGGTGGCGTCGGCGTTCTCGTCAACACGTGTTTTTCCATGAACATCGATTCATTCGAACAGCTTACAACCCGAATCCGACGTTTACGTTAAAAAGATGTGGATCAATACCGGCTTTGACAATCTTCATTGTTTACGCGCCGACATCAAACTATGACGAAGAAGAAGTCGAAGCGTTCCATGTAGACTTGCAGAAGTTTCACACAAAAGTTTTACACACACTTCAATTTTAAAGCTAGGATTGGACCAAGAAGAACGTCTGAAAAACGACACATTGAGACCCACGGATTAGATTGGAACGAGTAGGGTGAGCAGCTGTCTGAGTTTATCATGACAACCAAGACGATTCGCGGTAACTCGCAATTTCAGAAGCCCTTAATGCAGGGCGTGGAAGCCTCCCAGTGGTGAGTACCATAACGAAATAGACCACGTCGTAGTAAATAGAAAGTTTTGCCTAAGCAATGTCGCAGTTGTTCCAAAATTCCACACGGTATCAGACCATCGTCTCCTTCGTGCAAGATTCTACTTCTCGCAGAAAGGAGAAAGAGCAGCTAAATTCCAAAACGGAAGCCCCAGAACCACTGCAAACTGAGACTTATTAAATTCATTATTCGGCTGTTGGAAAGATGCCGTTATCGATAACACCGACAAAGAATACGATCGATTCATTGAACATCTTAACCTCAGCGCTATGAAAACTGAGAGTTCAAAAGTCCCCAAGAGCCGTCTTTCTCCAGAAACACTCGAGCTGATGCGCCAGAGTGGAATTGCAGGAGCTGCAGGCAACCGCCAGCTCAAGTTCGCACTTGAAAACATTGCAGATAGGCGATAAAACCAGATCTTAAAGAAAAAGAGGCAGGGGATTATGGTCGAAGCCGCGGAGGGTGAGAAAAGCATTTGCAAAGTCCACCGAAGTTTCGCCAATTACAAAACCAAGATGATTGTACTCCGATGCCCAGACGGAGCAGTAACGGCGACCAGAAAGGTAACGAAGATAATCGTTCATGATTACTACTCAGGTCACTTTGATAGAAATGCCAACCTTTTATAATGTAAAACAATGAAGGGCGGATATGTTGTACCATCGGTTCTCCCTTGCAGTCTGGAGAGGATGAGATCTGAATATCTGAAGAACTTTCCGCCAGTTCTAGTAAACACACTAGCCCTGCACTTCACACGTTACCTAACTGTATGCAAGCTCTCTACTCAGTGAAAGACCAGCAAGGCCGTGTTATTGTTCAAGAAGGGTGACCTCCATGATATCGGGAACTATCGCCCAATTTGCTTACTGTCTTTCGTCTGCAAGCTTTTCACTCGAGTCATCCTAAACAGGATTGACAGAACATTGGACGAAGGACAGCCATGTAACGATCAGGGTTTCGAAAAGGATTTAGTATGATGAGTAATGGCCCATTCAAGTATCGCGAGAGTACAAAGGACCACTCTGTCTCACTTTCATCGGTTTACAGAAGGCCTTTGATTCAGTTGAGATAGAAGCAGTCCTGGAAGCCCTTGATAGTCAAGGAGTCCCTACTCAGTACATAAGCATTCTTCTTGAGCTTTACAAAAGTTTCACAATTGAGATATCACCATTCTATAGCGATACTGACACCGAGGTCAAAACAGGTGCTAGGCAAGGCGACACCACCTCGCCAAAATTTTTCACCGCCACCCTCGAGAACGTCATGCGAACATTGGATTGGGACAACATTGGAGTGAAAACCGATGGCTTGCGATTACACCATCTTCGCTTTGCTGATGCCATCGCCCTTTTAATACCAAACATTAGCCAAGCGGAACGTATGCTTCCCAACTTTGCTAGAGCCTGTGGAAAGATTGGTCTTCGACTAAATCTCACAAAAACAATGTTTATGAGGAGCGAATTGGTTTCGTACGCCCCATTCACGCTCAACGGAACGAGTATCTCCGAATGCTCCAGTTATGTTTATCTAAGTCAGAAAATCAACGTGATGAACGACCTAGTTCCAGAACTGATCAAAAGGAAACGAGCGGCTTGGGGAGCTTTCAAGAGCTTCGGGGATGTAGTGAGGAGAACAGAGAACACCCGACTCCGTGCCGACCTTTTCGACTCAACGGTACTTCCTACCCTAACGTACGCGTCAGAAACCTGGTCGCTGCGTAAGCAGGATGAAAGGTCACTCAGCGTTATCGAACGCGCAGTCGAAAGGAGTATGCTAGGAGTACGCATTCAGCACAAGGAAGGGAAGGGATCCGAAGCTCCGACCTGCGTTAACGATCAAAAATCAAAGATGCCGTTCTGTACGCCAAACAGTCGAAGATAAGGTGGGCCGGACACGTAATACGTATGAATGACAACCGATGGACAAGAGCCGTTAGTGACTGAATTCCTCGGGATGTTAAACGCACTGCACGAAGAGCACCGACCCGACGGCCAGAGTTCTTAACGAAAAGCCTAGAAGAAAGGTATGATGCTCAACGAGTTCCTAGAGCGAGCAGAGCACAATTGGCTACTCTTTGCATGCGACAAAGCGAAATGAAAGATTTACTGGCACCCGCTGGAATCACTGGACAATCAACGGGCGTAGAGGTGATATAGGTGATCAAACTGACTAACTTGATGGAATTTCCATAATGTTTGAAAGACCATTGTTCTTTGTCGGTAAGGGTAATTATCATAACTGTGTGGAGTAGTACCTGGAACTGTCTCTAATACCACTGTCATGGGAACGTGTTGAAGATTGTTTATAGCTCTGTTTACTGCAATGATGAAAAGAGGATAACTTAAGCTCGGCTTCATCCGGCAGCTCGTTGAGAGAAGGACCTTTCTTTGTATTCTTAATATTTAATGAATTTAATCCTTACATATCTGCTACTTTCATAGCCAAATTAATTCTTGTACCAATTTCTCACTATTCAGATATGCCTGACAAGTACAAGATGTGGAGACATAGAAGCACCGACTCTATCCAATGTTGTTCCACAACATATACTTTATGCTCCTCCTCAATGGTCTTCTGAAGAGATGGACTCACTTCCGGCTGCACAACCGCAGATAAGTAGTCATTTCTCAGAATAATGTCCGTCTATTTTTAACAACATGGTCTTTTGAATAAACTAGCAAACAGCTTTGTAGTTTAACATCAATATAATTTACCAAATATTTCATTATCCTCTTAGTAACTTCCACGACCGACTTTCTATTAACCTCGGCATTGGCCGAACTATTCTCTGTATTCCTGTTTAGCAAACACGAGGTGTTATTTTACTTCTTTATTTACGTAGGAGTTGACGTTTCAGCGGATTTCGCCTTCTTCAAAGCTTGGATAGATCAGGTTGATAGCAATCTACCCAGCCAGACACCTCCATAACCAAACGGAGAAAATGCTAAACGAAAATTTCAATCACATTAAACACAGAATAGCTTCTTTGCACATTCACCGCTTTCTATGAGTCTTCCACTAAATATGTCACATGGAGACCAACCGTAGAGAGTTCACATGGAATTACAATGTGCCTTTCTCATCAGAATGACAGGCTTATATACTGCCCAATATCACTCGCGATAATGAGGCATTCCTCTCTGTGGATCATTTTCGGATTCCTGGAAGTAATCTAAAATGCCTCGAGAATTTTGCGCGCTTGTGTTTCGATTCTTGCGCGAGGATCGTAACCGCTACTTCAAAATCTTCACCGTTATGTCTCTGGGTCCTATGCGTGCCTAGTGGAGTATTTGGTTTAAGTTTCCCAACTAGGTGCTCTTTTATACGAACGCAGAGTGGTCTACCCGTTTCGCAAATGTATTGGTCTCTGAACGCCTTACAGGAAATCAGATAAACTATACCAAAGCTCATGCAATCACCGTCTCTCCCAATGGGGCAAATTATGCAATTTTGCGTTGCACGTAGACGGTCATATAGGCGGTTACGAACTAGCTGGAGCCTAAGATTATTCTGTGGCATTTGAACTACGTTTACCGCATTCTCTAGACCCGCCTTTCTTAAGCAGCGTTTTATAGCCGTACTCACATCATTTGAGATGAAGGGTAGGATAAACGAGACCCTTTTATCGCTAGAGTTGGTGTGAAGGTCAATAGGATTTTTTCTACACTTATCCAGAGCTACAGTTCCGTAGCCATTAAAAATGGCTATTTGATGTGCCAAGTTCCGGGACTCCTCCTTCTGCTCTCTTCCCGTGCACGAGCTGGTGGCTGTTCGAAACGTGTTTCTCACAAGCGCCCTTGTCGTGTGGAGGGGTGAAAGCATAGTTAATGAACCAATATATTTTTACTAGTTGGCCTTCCGTACCGCTTTGTCATGTAACCGCTACTTGATAGGTTTATTAGAACGTTTAGAAACAGAAACCAGTTTTCTTTCGGTTTCTCTCGGGTGAACTCAATATGTTCTGACTGCTCGTTCAATAAATCGAAACATTTCTCAGTTTCCTCTCGTGTTGAGCAAATGACTTGTGTTTGTTAAACAAGAATATAAAGAATTATCCTCTTAATAGCGGATCGAATATCCATAACGTATTTGTTATCAGTGGAATGAATCATACAAGGAACGGAAATAATAGCTCTAATGGAAGACACGCTAAAGGTTTTTTGCTAAATGGAGGATTTCCTATGCAGTTTATCTGATCATAAAGAGACTTCCGTTTATTTACACTTTTTTTTTGAATTTCCTGATAAAAAATAAAGAATAAAGCTCTCGGCGTTGATCAATCCCTGAGAGATACGCCATGCATTCGACTTCATTAAGTATTGCTAGAGGTGACTGAATGCATATCTGGCCTTTCCAATAACTCGCGGTGGCCAGATCTGGTATCAATTTGCACTCCGGAAAAATGGAGAGCTTGCCGAGCATGGGGCGCGGAGTCGAACCCATGTGGGTTGCAGGACGCCTCTAACAGCTACGCTGGACGCACCGGCTAAAAGATTTGTAGAAACTTGTGAATGGTTGGTACTGCGGCAAAACACTTGTCTGGAATAAAATGCGCGTTATTTTCTTGTAACTCAGAAGCAGCAACAACCATTGCACTGCAAGCTTTGCATAAAGAGGTCCAACTTTTCATCAATAGGAGAGAAATTCTACTCTTGCAACAGGTCCTCTACTATTCGATGAAAAAAACCATTTTCAACACTATCATTCCTATGCACGAAATCGCCGTTCAGGGCATTTTTCTTTTCACAGGCACATTTCGTGCACTTTTTCTTAAATGTCCATCCAGTTAGCCACAACGATGCTGAGATATTCGTTGATACTAACTTCGTGGTAATATGCATGTCCTATAAACACAAACGTTGACTCTGGGCCAGATCGAACCACTATTTCCCTTTCCGGGGGTTCGCGCATTGCACACTGTGCCACGGAGGAGGCCTTTGACCTGCGTTTCTCTCAGCTAGTCTACTTAGTTATATATTCAAATCATCCCATCTACTTGTTGATTTCGTTCGTGCTTATGTTTTCCTAGGATTTTTGTCAAAAGTCTTGTCAATTTTATTCAGGTATCAAAAATAATACGAGCCTTAAATCGAAGGAGTCCCTTTGTCGCTATAGCAACCTAACAGGACAAATAACCCGTTCTTCGCTGCCAGTGAAGCAAATAGTAGTCGAATTTTTCTATTGCTTCCAACCATTTCGACCTTATTTTCCACTAATCATGGATTTACATAGTGCAAGCTTCAACTTTCTACTCCTTTTCTATGTTTTCAGCCATTGAATCAGCAAGGTGAAAATGGTTAAATCCGTTCGATTCTAACCCAATCGGTGAAGCACGAACTGCTTCGTTTTATGTATTCACTACCAAAATATTTTAATAATAGTGTACTGCACAGCATATCTTCAGAAAATGGAAGATACTGAGAATGAGAAGCCGCAGCAGGAGCTTGTAGATGGTCCAGGAAAACTTTACGAGCCATATACCAAAAACGAAGACCTTGTTGATAAGCTTAAACTTCTTAACTACGAGGAAGGATTTCTCAAGATGAACACGGCCTTTAAACCAGTTCACAGGTTAGTCTAATGAATATTGTGGCAACATTACGCCATCCATGTGATTGATTCATTCCTATAGATTTTGCGCAGTGCACAAATTATCTTAGTTGTCTTTCCATTTCACTTTCTCTCTGAAAACTCTTCTCATTTATTTATATGCTCTTATAAACTGATCTTGTTGAGCTGATGCGAGGTTGGTATAAATTTTCGTTGTCGTTGTTGTTAGTGTTGTTGGTCTATGGCCAACAAAAACAACAAAACAAGCAACGAAAACTTATAGCAACCTCGCATCAGCTTAACAGAATTAGTTTATAAGGTCAACTATTTAGGGAACGCGTGTGGTGCAGTGGTCGGAGGCGCCCTGCAACACGTGAAATCGATCCCGGGGCCCATGACCCTCCAAGTCCTCCATCCCTCCAAGGTCGGAAAATTGGTAGCAGACTTGTCTAGGAGGATAGCAGCACTGGTTCGATACATCGGTAGGCCACAGCGAGTCATTGTAAAGGCCGGATATGCATTCGTTCACCTCCAAACGATACTTTATGAAATCGAGTATGTGGCGCATTCCTGAGGGATTGTTCAACGCCAAGAGCTTTACACTTTATATCAACTATTTATCTCGAGATTCATGGATAGTCGGTCTTTCGAACTTTTGCCATCGTTTTGTTGCTTCTTTCTAAAACTCCATAGGAGTGATTTCATTACTTTACTTTCTTATATTTTTCGAAAGTTTACTTTTATTCGACGTAAATGTTGCTACGTTATCATTTCATCAGTATGAAAGAATTGTTCTACCACTTCCTATTCTTAGCCCATTTTTCCAGAGTTTTACAGGTCCACAAAGTGCATAGAACCTACTTTGGATACGTGAACATTTGTTTACTTTAATATATTTGAAAGATCCCAACACTTATTTTATTTAGTTGCTTATCCTATGTTCCTTGTACCGGCCACTGAATTTGCTTTGACTGCTAGTTGAGGGTTTTTTCTTCTTCATGAATGTCGTCAAGTGTTGCTCGAATAGATTTCGCTGAAATCCTGAAGCGCTATTAGAGCACTCCCGGACCCACCAGAGGCACTCAATCATCTTCATGAATCATGAGGAGCTTCTCCCAAATAGGTTCTCCACAGATATTGGGGTCTTGGTTGACCCGTGAGGTGGAGGTTGAGCCAACGACTATGCGTATATTGCATGACGTCTCTAATCTATTCACTCTAGTGCCTTGGGATAGTCATCTATGGGCGTTGCCACAAAGACTGAAGGAAATTACTTGATTTCAGACAAGTCTGGTACCAGTTTCGCAGCCTCGTAGGGAAGGATTGACGAGCCTGGTGTGGGGTCGAACCGGCACCATTATCGTGGTGAACGAGATCACTGCACGAGTCCCACCATAATATTTTTATCGATTGTGATAGTTTTTACTGTTTTTACTACTATTGCCTATGCTCAGTTTTAGGCACTATTTTGTGAATTCAACAAATGTTGGTGAGCAGTACTTTATGTTCACCTCGTTAGCTGCATGGTTGATAAGGATCGCCGGCAACGAAGCCTATGAAATGCCACAAGAGGTAAGTACAGTTCTCGTTGTTATCTTACTTTTGGTATAACTGAACTAAATGGTTTGTCGCCAATAAAACATAGGCAAAATTACCAAAGGTACATAAACATTACTGAATTCATGAGAGAAACACGTCGAAAGTTTGGTTAATTTTAGCTTCTAGCAGTGTGTCCTCTTTACACGAGCAGAAATTCTGCACCAGTGTTTCATTTAAAAGAGACCTCTCTGTGATGCCAATGCCGACCATTTACAAATAATCTTCAGTCCATAAAACATTTCCTTCTCGACTAAAATCGACAAGTTCAAGTGTATAACAGGCCGTTATAAAAACCAAATAAACAAGAACTAGATAGATCTTGAAGTAAATAAAAGATGACATAAACAAAGAATAAATGAAATGTAAAATAAATGAAAGAATAGAGTTTCAGAGATGTCCTAAAATACAAACGTGCCGGTTGGTTCAATCTCTCGCCCAACCTAGGCCAAGCTTCTCTATCAATACGGAATCAGCGATTTAGTACCAGATGCCCCGGAGGATTAAAAAAAAGCACTAAATTTATAGATCAATAGGAGATAAAACTCCCCTATAGGCCAAATTCACATTCAATCACCTCTATGATGTTAAGTGAAGTTGATTAAAAGGTGTATCATTAAGCGAATGATCAACGACGAAAGCTTAACACTCCATTCCTTAACAGTTTAACTCGCAAAATTAACATTGCATTTTTAGCTCTTATTGTTTCTGTTTTCCTCGTAACACTTTTTCAGTCTCACGATCCGAATGCGACAGTAGCTGGAATTATGGCACATTTAAGAGCGAATGTGAGTGAATTTCAACATATATGCCGTGATTAAAAGGGCTCATGTAGCGCAGTGATCGGAGACGCCCTGCAACACACACCTCGAGTCGATCCCGGCACCTATGGCTCACTAAGTTTTCGTCCTTCCGGGACCGGCAAATTGGTACCAGCCTTGTCTGAGAGGATAGCAGCTTTGGCTCGATACATCGGTAGCCCACCGCAAGTTATCGTAAAGGCCAGATAAGCAATCAATCACTTCCAAACGATGCTGAATGAAGTAGAATGCACAGCCTATTCCTCTAGGATTGATCAACGCCGGGAGCTTTAGCCTTTATCCTTTTTATGTCGCAATTAGAAGTAGAGCTTCTCGAAATTTATTGGAAAACAAGAATTTCCATTAGCAGTTTTTTAAGCAAAAATTCGAAGCAAAATATTTGCTGTTTTTTTTACGAAGAAATACGAGGTTGTTACTTTATTCTTTATTTACAAATAATCTGTCGTTTCGGCGGATTTCGCCTTCTTTACAGCCTGGAATGGTCAAGTTGACTGCAATCTGCCCAGCCAAACACCTTCATAACCAAGCAGTGGAAGTGCTAAACTAAGATTTCAATCGCATTGAAGGCAAAATAACTTTTCCAGAACATTTACTACTTTCTATAAGTCTTCCACTGAGCATGTCAGGATGGGATCAACCGCATGGAGTTTACATTGAAGCGTAATGTGCCACTCACATTAAAATATCAGTCTCAAATACTGTGTAAAATCGCGCTTGATTGAGAAGCATGCTCCCTGCTGTTCATTTTCGGCTCCATGGAATTTGTCCGGAATGCTTCGAAAATTTTCCGCGCTGATGTTCTGGATTGAAGTGCGGTGAGGATAACTTCTAAGTTAAAATCTTCTCCATTGTGTGTCTGTGTTCTATGCGCGTTTAGTGGAGCATTTAACTTTAACCTTTAGTTTGCCAACAAGATATTCTTTTAAACGAGCTCAGAGTAGTCTAGCCGCTTCAACAATGTATTCATCCCCGCACGCTTTACAAGAAATCAGGTGTACTGTAACCGAGCTCGTGTAATCATCGTTAACGTTAGAGCATATTATGCAATTCTATAGTGTCCACAGGCGGTCGTACAGGCGGTTGCGAACTAGCCGGCGCCTAATAGTGTTCGGTGGTATTTTCACTGTTACTGAATTCTCTAGACCGGCCCTTCTTAAGCAATGTTCTATAGCCACACTTATTTCGCTTAATATGAAGAGTGGGATGAACAAGGCATTATGCTCGCTAGAATTATCGTTTGCGGGCTTGCGTTTTCCTCTACACCTATCCCGAGGAGCTACACTTTCGTAGCTATTTGAAATGTCAATTTGCAGTCCCACTTTCAGAGATTCTTCTTTCTGCTCTCTTCCCGTGCACACACTCGTGGATATTCAAAGCATGTTTCTTATAAGTGCCATTTTTGCATGTGAAAGGAGAGAGGACAGGTCATGAACCAGTAATTTTACTACATGGCTTTCTGCACCATTCCGTATTGTAGCCGTTTTCGGACAAGTTAATTTGGAGGCCCAGGAATGATAGTCAGTTTTCCTTCGACTTCTCTCGGGTAGGCTTCATGTTCCCTGACTGTTCATTCAATAACTCAAAACAGTCAAAACAACTCAAAACTTTCTGTATTGAGCAAATAACAAAGCAATCACCCATATATCCGCAGTCGAGCAATAGCCAGAGATCGACTAGTGGTGCTTCCACCTTAAACATAATGGCAAGGCTTGGAGCCAGTCGTTGTCCCATTGTCAACCCTCTCATTTGTGCACAATATTTCCGGACCTTTTGAAGACTGAGTCGGTTAGGCGCTCTTTTAAGAAGTCCATCACCTGCTAAATAGTGGAGCTACAAGTGTTTATTGCTCCTTCGTGTTGTATAAGGAGTTTGAATATGGCTTGAATAGCAGAGTTGTTCGAGAACTTTGTATAAAGGCAGTGACGTCGATGGGCTCCATCGCATATGCACAGTTAGGACACGCGTTACGTAACCATACTAGTGCATCTGGGTATTCGTTAGATGAGCTGGAATGTGTTTTAACAACTGCCTAAGTATTTGGGTTAAAACCACGTTATTCTATTTGCTAGCGCGTCTGCACGGTTAATGATACGTCCAACCTTGAATAACAGTGGATTGGAAGTCACAGAATATCATCACTAGATACTAACTTATGAGTTTTGATAAGTAAGTACAAGGCATGACATGGTGGTAAGCCAGTTCTGAGTTGAGAGATAAGGATGCTTTTAAATCAGCCGCTTTTGCCATTTTAACCCATTCGTTGTTTAATTCTCGACTTTTAAGTTTTTTTTACTTTTAAGTTTTTCTTAAGCTATGTTGGAAACCCTGAATGAAGTTGTTATAACGAAAAGAACCTTTCATTTTGACCACTGCTTCGACAGTTTCGCCCGACTCGATTCGACTCGATGCGACCATAGTGACTCACCGCACACCGCAGTGATGGACTGCTGTGGACAACTGAAACGAACCATCTCGAGAAGAGGAAGATGCCGAAGCTCCACCCAAAACGATTTTTGTAACAAATTCGTGTTAAATTGTTTCAATTCGTGCTGAAAATTATCAATGGGATCCCATTTTCAATAAGAAGGGAAAGAACCACACTCTGATGGAAAGCCCACAATTTTCATTGTTTTTGCCTATAGCAATGGCACGTATACTCGACCGCTGGGTTCTGCCATGACGTAGAATTTTTTTGAGATTGCAGAAGGAAATACCAAGCTCACTTTCAAACTGGAAACCATGGTTAGTTTGGTAAAGCAATTTCAACTTTTTGACACTTATTCTACAACTCTAAGTAGTCTGCATAAAATCCACAAAGACGGAGTTTTCTCGGCCAAGATGCGTCTTATGTCATAGTGATATGCAAGGGTTCTACCGCTCAATGTCGCCCATTCCTCATTGTTTGTAATCCAGGCTCCTAGTAGTAAAATTATTAAGCAAGCTGGATTTCGTCGACCAAGATGTTGTGGCTCTTCTGAACGTGTGGCCAAATCAATGTTTGTGTTACTTTTCTAATACAACTATCTCAAGACTGGGTGTTGATTGCCCCAGAAGAAGCTGAAGCCCCTTTCCTTCTCTCAAGGGTTTTATGGATGAACGCTACGTGACAACGAAATCAATGAAAGAACTGCTGGGACCCGCAAAATACGTGATGTCTCGTTACGTAAAAAATTGATAAATCGATAAAATGCGACATTAATGAGACATTTTATACAGGTTTTTCATACATTCAACTCTTCAAGTGCTTTAATGATTAAAAAAGTTATCGGCAGAATCTTAAAAACCTACCCGCATTGAACCCAGGCAGGCAAAGACAATCAATACTTTTCTGGATTATTGCAGCAACACGAAGTCGGTACGAAAATAATTTTGCAGCTAACGTTTCGACGTCTTCGACTTCTTCAGAGCCGCTTCGATCGGAGTCGCTGATCCAGAGATGGTCGCGCGCGTGACTTGGGTGTTCGTTGTTTGCATTGAGCCGAATCCGGTGGAGAGAGCAGCCGTCGAATGAAGTATCCTCTCTCGGCCGTATCATTCTATACAGGACAGATGTTGACGTTCTGCCTCCCTCTAGTCTTTCGCCAATATTTTGTTAATCGTACGAATAAAACGAGGACGTCGAAACGTTAACCGAACAAATATTATCATTCCAACCTCAGCTCACTTATGTAGAAAAGTATTGACAATCGGCTACTATCACATAACCGAATAGTCATTTCCTCCGTAGCACTAATTTTTGAGTAATTCTCTTGCAGTGAGGAGAAAATGTTGAAGTACAAGTGGCTCTTATCATTTGCGAATACAGAATTTATAACTGGTTTTATATTTTATATTATTTTTTTATTTTATTTTATATTATTTTTTTATTTTATAGAATTTATAACATGGTTAGCCAGTCGATTTCAGGATATATCGATAGAGTTTTCTGCTAATAAGCTCAAGTCAGGAGCTGGTGAAGCTGTTTTGTTTGTACTGGATACTCTCGCCGATGCGGCGCTCATTCACGTCAACTTTCATTGGGAAAAGTTAGCTCTCTAAGAACTTGCCGAAAACGTCGAAATAAACTTCCTTCTACTTTTCTAGAATGATTCCACCGGAAAGGGAAGAAGACGACATCGCTGTTGATCAAGATGAAGAAGACGACAGCTCATCTGAGGTATGAAAACGAAAGTTTTTCATAACTGGTAGCGTTCTGTAGCAATGCCTTTCGATTTAATTAACAGCTGTTCATGTGTAATCATATTGGAACTGCTCAGACTTTAAAAACATAAGGCCTGAGAATCGCTGAACATTAACGATTAGACGACGTTAAAGGTTTAAGCTGAAAATTCCTTTGCATGACTGCAACGACAAGATGTTTTGTTATCAAAGGGAAGTCAATAGTCTTAGAAAGAAATAGAATCAATTTTGGGAGATACCTTTGTTTCGCGTGTGACCCAATGGTCGGAGGCGCCCTGCAACGCACACGTGGAATCGATCCTCGCGTCCATGACCCACCAAGCTTTCATCCCTTCGAGGTCGGCAAATTGGTACCAGACTTGTCTGGGAGAATAGCAGCGCCGGCTTGATACATTGGTAGGCCAGCTTGAGTCATTGTAGAGACCAGATATGCATTCAATCATCTTCAAACGTTGAATGAAGTCGGACGCATGGCGCATCTCTTAGGTACTAATCAAAGTTGAAAGCTTTATCCCTTATTTTTTATTACCTTCGCTCCATTAGATTCCATGAACATCGATGAACTTACCACTTTCCTGAACACAAGCTAACTTTAAATGACTGTTCAATTTCGTGGATTTGATGTGGATTTCCTGCCGTGATGAACTTCGAAAAATCCCATAAAGTCGAAGTGACAAGTTTTTTAGTGATCCGCCTTTCAGAAACTATCTCCCAGTTAGGTGAATCACAGTTCAATTTTTAGACTGCTGAAGAAGACTACATCGACGAAGACGAAGGAGTCTACGTTGACTTATCGACTCCACTTTACAACGAACCAGAAGTATACTTTCCTTTCAAATGTATTAATAAAATACAACGTTTAAAATAGGTTTCTGTAAGAAACATCTTTTCTTTTGCGGTTGCTCTTGAACTTTTGGAAATATTTCAAATAAGAGTAAGTCGACTTAGTCAGCAGAGCTTGATGTAAACATTGAAGTACAGGTAGTGAGGATAACCAGTTTCACCCCAATTGTAACGATTTTATAAGTTCACGTATACGTCAAAATATTGCAATTTAGAGGTTTAAAGATGTGGGCAGGTTGACTTACTCTACAGAGGTTTCTGTAAACGTTAACGTGCAAAAAGCGTTGGTAAGCCCAGTCTCCTTCAGTTGTAAAGTTTCTACAAGTACACCTATACAACAAGAATTTTCATACATTTAGTTCATTCTAGTGAAAGAAAAAAAAACAAGACTGATACAAACAGTGCTTGTGATAGAGAGACCGGACATGTATGCCAGTCAGTTTCTTGATGGTTCGACGAGGAAAAGGAAATTGTAGTTTAGAAACACCCAAAGAATTGTTAGTGTACAGATCGCGATGGTCGACAGTACCCTGACTAATACCGCTCATTTTCTGAAACTTTTTGCTTCACTGTGTAAAGCGACTGGTTCTCCATTGCCATCTGCTACTTCCAGGATCATCCTAAACAAGCAATTCTACACAGCGACATCGATGCGCAGGCATGGCGTAAAGAAGTCGAACGGGTCACGCCATTTCTAAAGATCGTCATTAGACAGGATGCCAAGGTAACCGAATCGAAACTCCGATAAGAATTAAGATAAAAAGTGATAGACTTAGTTGAAGAAATGCAGACAATATAAGCTTTGTCCGATAACATGGTTTTGCAATGAAAACATAAAAGTGCAAAAATAACGCTACAAAATGACCCAAAACTTACTTGGACTATTCGATGGCTTCTCTTCACCGGTTGTGCGGGCCTCAACATAATTCCCACTCGTTTCTCTTTCGAGCTGGCGTCGTTCTTGATGGTGCTTTGTTTCGAACATGGTGATGTTCTCGAAACCCATTCGGTAGTTCTGAAATCGTTTTCATCCGTGAATCTCGCTGGTTGACTTCACCTGAACGCTTTCGCCCATAACTCGGGTGGTTCTCCAAGAGAATATCTGTATTCTCTTAGAGAACACTCCACTGTTCTTTTTATCCACATGTCACCTGTTCCCAATACTATGTGGCAAGCCCACCACGGTTTCATTATAGTATATGTACTTTAGTCTCCCATATCACGAAGAGTCCTGAACTGAATACTCCAGTTGGACGTTGTAAGGGGAGGTTAAATTTTGGAAGATACCTTCCAAGCGTTTTGTGAGTGGCGCGCAGATTTCTTGGAATCGAAAAGGTATGCACAAATTTGAAGAGCTTGGATAGTCGGTGGCTTCTGTGAGTGGCTCGAATGCGATCCGTATTGGTCTTCTTTTCTGCATAATTTGTGCTTCATTTGGTTCTTCATGTTCACTGAGCGTCGAGGTACATCAGCGAGATGGTCTGTCTATTAAGAGCACCATGCAGTTCGATTTTTTCGCTTTCGCACCATGAGATTTCTATGAAACAGGTTTTTGCCCTGTTTCTGTGCAGTCCAATATTTTCTCTCATCTAGTTTAGCTCATTGAGCATCGTGTCTGCCTCGGAATAGTGAGGAGCTGAATGAAAAACTGCATTTTCGGGATGCAGTTCCGACAACAGTCAAATAGAGTTTCTACGTAGGTCAGGTCCACCCCTCGGTAGACGAGCTCTGGTAGGACTGCATGCTTCCACCCTGTTGAACCATATTTCGTTGTGTGAAAACGTGACGCAAATGGCACTCCCTAGAGAATTCCATGATCCGTCACACGACACAACGATGTGGTCGCTGCAGCAAATCCCCTGTCGAAGTCCTGCTTGTTCGTTTGGTATCACATCACGAAGGTGCTTGATATCTGGAAAACGGTAATCTTTGTAAATGCCACGACCGACTTTCTATTAACCTCGGCATTGATCAAGTGATTTTCTTCGTATTTTTGTTGAGCAAACGCGAGATGTTACTATTCTTTGTTCACGATTAAGCTGACGTTTCGGCGGATTTCGCCTTCTTCAGAGCCTGGAAAGGTCAAGTTGATAGCAATCCACTCGGCCAGACGCCTCCATAACCAAACAAAGAAACCCCAAACCAAGATTTCAATCACTTTGGACACAGCTTTGCACACTCACCGCTTCCTATGAGGTTTCCACTTTGTCACGTAGAGACCAACCGCACAGAAATCACGTGAAAGTATAATGTGCCCCTCACATCAGAAAAGCAGTTTTATATACTGCCCTATAACACGCGTGATAATGAGGCATTCTTCGCTGCGGTTCATTTTCGGATTTCTGGAATTAATCCAGAGTGCCTCGAGAGTTTTTCGCGCCTGTGTTCTTGATTCGCGTGCGAGGATCGTGACACTTACTTCGAAGTCGTCCCCGTCATGTCTCTGGGTCCTATGCGTGCCTAGCGGGGTATTTGGTCTATTTTTGCCGGCTAGGTGTTCTTTCATGCGGAGACAGAGGGGTCTACCCGTTTCGCCAATGTATTCGTCACCATACGTCTTACAGGAGATCAGATAAACTATACCCGAGCTCATGCAATCACCGTCTCTACCACTGGGGCAAATTACCACTGGCTTCAGGATAGAGCACCTGATGGCACTCTTAAAAGAATGCTTGAGCTGCTCAATCTTCAGATGGTCTGGAAAATACT